GCGGATCTCCCTATTAGCTGGTCTTTAATTTCTCATTCTTATCTGGAAATTATTTGGTCCTCACCGGGTTCATTCCTGGTCCTTACCTGGTCCTTTGCAGAAAGCCATTAATTCCAGCGGATCTCCCTATTAGCTGGTCTTCAATTTCTCATTCTTATCTGGAAATTACTTGGTCCTCACCGGGTTCATTCCTGGTTCTTCCTTACCTGGTCCTTACCAGGTTCATTCCTGGTCCTTACGTGGTCCTTACCTGGTCCTCACCGGGTTCATTCCTGGTCCTTATGTGGTCCTTACCTGGTCCTTACGTGGTCGTTACCTGGTCCGTACCTGGTCCTGACTTGGTTCTTACCTGGTCCTTATGTTGTGCTTGTTGACTGGTGGCAGGTCTGGGCCTATATGTCATCATGGATATTGTCCATTGTTATGCTTCGAATGAAGGATTAGGGCAATTTGACGGCAAGAGCGACTCTTATTTCTATCGCGGTGAGTATTCAAAATCTGAGCTCAAATTTCCATCTTCCTATCTGTTTCCACAATCCACGATCCACGATCCACGATCCACAATCCACAATCCACAATCCTCACTCGCACCTCCCCTCTTCCCTCTCCCCTCTCCCATAACTTCACGTCTTGTTGACATCTTTGATTCCCTCTGTTTGTTTTGTTTGTTAGTTTTTCTCTTTAAAAAAAAAAAGAAAAAAGATCTGGTTCATTTTTCGGATTGTGCGTGTCATTCTTGCATAGTGGCCATTTTCTAATCTTCTCCTCATCGTTCGGATTTTGATGGATGCCGCGAAGAACAGTTTGTTAGTTTTTTTTTTTTTGACAAAGGCAACGGCCCATTCTATTCTGTAGGGCATTAGCCCAGTTGCTTATCAATTTGTTAGTTATTAACTTATTACTTACTTATTAGTTTTTTTTTTTTTTTTTCCAATAGAGATTTGTTTGAACTTTGAACTTTGAAACATTTCTCGTTTCATCCCTTGCGCAGGGATTCCGCTAATCTTGTCTGTATTTCTTAAGACTTATAAGGGCCTACTCACACATGGACTTTTTCCACTGAGATCTGGACGGATATGCGGCCAGATGCATCCCGGACTGGCCACAAAAGCATTCAGAATTTCAGATACATCCGGCAAAGTCCTAGTTTGAGTATATGCCCTAACACAATTAAAATGGTGTCCATCTACTTGACATATCACAGTGGCGAGACACCATCATCTCCCATTGCTGCTTCACACACCATAGCGCCGAGCTCTTCTGTCCACACTGCTCAAGCTGAGAGGAGCAGCTACTCCCAGACATCTCTTTTATCTCCTCTACTCACAGCAATAGCTGTGCTCCATTCCCAAATCTACCAGCCTACTTTTTCCTTTGTCCTGCGTTGCGGCGCTATTCGCCCCGCAAGTCACCATTTGAAAACCGATCGAAGCTATCTGGAAACCTCTGCCCGTTCTACCGTGAGGGTGGCCGCCGCGTCTCTGTATCATTCCAATTGTGCATGAGGCGCTGAAGTTCGACTTCCTTGTTTGCCTCTGTTAAAGTCTATTTAGGTTTTCGGACTATTTCACTATCACACTGCGCCTCTTTTTCGTGTTTTTTTTTTTTTTATGGAAGATTTGGATACAGTACTCTTCCGTTCAGCGAGGAGCCACTATGAAATAACCTCCGTGCACGAGGAAGAGAGGGCCATTTATCATCACCCCTGTTGAACCATGCCGTCGTTCGTAATGCTGCATGTCAGTGTCAGACCTGAGTCGAAAACATTAAAAAAAAAAAGAAAGAAAGAAAAAGAAAAAGGGAGGGCAAGCTGATAGTCAATCCTCCAAAGTGCTGGAGTAATCAATGCTGATCAGGGGTCATTTGGCCAAACGGAAGGAAGCGTGAGGGCGTACTTGCTGTTGTATTTCTGACTTGCCGGTGGAATGGGAACCAGACTGATACTCCCCAGAATGGATATGGAGCCAGGTCCATAAGGACCTTTTTTTTTTTTTTTTTTTTTTTATAAAGAAGCAAGCAAGCAAGCAAGAAAGCAAGCAAGCAAGCAAGCAAGCAAGCAAGCAAGCAAGCAAGCAAGAAAGCAAGCAAGAAAGAGAGAAAGAAAGAAAGAAAGGAAGGAAGGAAGGAAGGAAGGAAGGAATTGAAATCAATGCTTGCTTGCCAGTTGTTGTACAATGAATGCAGGTTGAATAAAAAAAAGTTAAAAAACTATTGACAGCTTGGCTTCCATCATCATCTGGCTTTGGCTTTTCGGTCCCTTAATCACAGGTTCTAAAACTGGGTATCACAAAGGTTTACGAATGTTCAAATACGGGGAGTACGAGATCATGCGATTCCTGGTCTCCAACTTGAGATGGTAAGCACTACTAAGCAGGCCAATAATGATTTATTATAAATGTATAATTTATTAATTTTCCTTCTTTTCTTTGTCTTTGGTCCCTTTTTTGTAAAAATAAAATCATTGTTGCACCCCCCGACGGTCGGCGGCCCTTGACTGGTCGGCTGCCGCCCCGCCGACCGATCGGCTGGTCGGCACCTACCGGTCGGGGGTCGTCAGCACCCCGCAAAAATAAATAAATAATAATAATAATAATAATAATTTGGGGGTCCAGAACCCCCAATGACACATTCAACACCCCCATAGCGTCCCCCAATACCCCATACACCCCCCCAAACCACCCCCAAACTGCCACCAACACCCTCATTACCCCCCGGGCCCCCCCAATACCCCCTATACCACCCCTATACCCCCCTATACTCCAACCCCACCCCCCCATATGCCCCCCCCATCGCCAAGAGTTTCTCAGCGGATTTGGGCTGTACTCAGCAAGCGCAGTACAGCCCCAACTCAGATTTGAAAAAAAATCAGTGGACGTTTGGTCGGCAGACCGCCGACCAGTCGGCCCCAACTGGTCGGCTGCAATACGGTCGGCGGTTGGGGTCGGCGGTCGGGAGGGATGCAACCCTGATGAAAATAAATTAAAACCAAGGTAAACACTTTCAAGTTTTTTCAAGTTTTCGTGTTTTTATTTCTCTTTAAAATAGGAAGCCCCAATCTATTGGTGGGGAGCAACACCAGCCAGGAGGCAGGGCTGGCATCCGAAAACTCCTGGCACGGCGATCGCCCACTCTCCAAGCGCCAGCTATGCAACCACAACCCTAAATTCAACTTCAACAGAGTTAGAGAACCACGGCTCACTCGGTATGAGCCCCCAACCCTAAAGCTCAAATAACCAGAGGGGGGGGGGTAACAACAAGCACTGGTGAGGCCCGTTGTCGCTAACGCCATGTTGCAGTGGCCATTAAAAATACTCGGCTCCCATTTGCCTTTATAGCTTGAAAAACAGTGTCCAAAGACTCCAAACCTACGGTACCAGAGTGGTCCGGGACCACTTGCTCGGCCGGCAAAAACGAATGAAAAAAAAAAGAAGAAAAAAGAATAACAAAAGAAAACAAATTTGTAATAAGTTAATAACTCAGCTCAAATCATGCAATAGCCATGGGCCATGGTTGACGGGTCTTCATTTCGGTCCAAGGGCCGAAACAGGGGTCAACGGCCACACCCAAGTCATGAAAATTGCGTAAACAAAGCCCTGCTACTGTGTGTACCCCAAGCAAGGCCTAAAACTGGGCTTCAGAGGCCCAATGTGCGACAGTTGACCGTGGAAAGTCAAAGGTCAACAGCTGCTCGGAAATTCAGGCCCACGAATCGAAGTCAACATGGACCCAGCCCAGGCCACCAATCAGACACACACACTTGGCTGTTTCCAGGTATCTGTCGAGAATCAAGTCCAAGTGGGAATCTGCAAGTTTGCAACGGTATGAGATCCAGGCCATTGACCGCGAGTCAATCTGGGCCATCGTATCTGAGAGACCAGAGGCTGGTCAACGGGAGTGAACACTATATGTTGACCCAGCCCCTGCTGACCGACAGTCAGTCTGACCGACATTCAGTCTTGCACTTGCTGTTTGATGCTGGCTTGACGCTGGCTCTACGCTGGCCTGGCTGGACGCTGGCTCGTCGCTGACTCTGCGCTGGCTCGTCGCTGACTCTGCGCTGGCTTGATGTTGGACGACAACGCGAGACTTCTACTGCTTTGTGCTGGCGCCTTTCTCTGTCTACTGCGCCAGCTGGATCCCTGACTATGCTGACGTGGCTCTCGCCACACCATCTACTACGTTGATGGGATACTGGCGAGGAGGAGGAGGATCAGGACGCAGTCTGTGAGATTGGTCGAATGTGAGGAAAGCTTACCTGTCTGCGTTCGTGTCGACATTGCGCATTGCGGATTGTCTTCTGAGGAGACTGCGCCGTGTGCGCCTTGACGAGATCTGTTCAATGTCAGAGCGTGCCAGAGGATACTGTATGCTGACGTGGCGAATAGGGGTTGCCCGAAGGAGTGGGCTTGTGAGGAAGTTCTATCTGCTGAGCTGATGGGTACTTTCTCTTCCACCCTCTTAAGTCTAATTCCCCTCTCATCTGCTTCTTCTCTGGTCACGAGACACTGGACCACTTGATCACATGTACGATTTCAGAGACAGAGAAACTTTGCAGAGACATTCTGCACTTCGTCATTGTCGAGCTTTCCACCAGAGGCAAGGGCGGCAGTCGACGAGGGCAGTCGGAAATCAAATTAAATTATTAAAGTTATTAAACAACTGCTCAACCAAAGACTTCACAACCGTTCAGACCCATTTTGCATTTATAATTCTACTCTTAACCTACTGGAATGGACTCTGCCTAGGACCTGAAAAGAATGAACGAACAGTTATGGGTCTGTGTTTTAGAGTAACAACGGTAGCGCTCTGAGGCAAGGTAAACCAACTAACAGTTATGGGTCTGTGTTTTAGAGTAACAACGGTAGCCCTCTGAGGCAAGGTAAACCAACTAACAGTTATGGGTCTGTGTTTTAAAGTAACAACGGTAGCGCTCTGAGGCAAGGTAAACCAACTAACAGTTATGGGCCTGTGTTTTAGAGTAACAACGGTAGCGCTCTGAGGCAAGGTAAACCAACTAACAGTTATCGGTCTGCCTTTTCAGAAATGGCTGTACTAGTGTGTGAGGCAGAAGTAAAGCAACAGTCCGTTGAGGCAACTTGAGGCCTTTAACAAGGTTGAAGGCCTAGTAGTACTGTAGTACCCATTCTCTTCAGTAGTTTTTGATGGAATTTGCAGAAATGCCCTTGTCAGCTTAGGCCTATTTCAGTTACTGGTTAGGACCCAGAACTTAGAAAAATTTCAAAATGTCCTTGTCAGTGCTGCAGCTCGCTGAGAAACTGCGAGATTATTTCGGCCAGCTCTGTTTTTTTCGGTGCATTGGAATTTCGATTCGATGACTGGCAGACTGTTGTTTGACATAATGCACATGGGATTTTTATTATTATTATTATTATGATTATTATTATTATTATTATTTATTATTATTATTATTATTATTATTATTATTATTATTATTATTATTTGTATGATGATGATGATTTTTGGTCTCTGTGCACACGATGATGATAGGTGGGCGGAGGAGTATCGAATTGACGGATTCCATTTTCATAACGTGACGGCAATGATATACAAGCACCGGGGATTAGAGTTTGACCGCAAGGGCTCAGCAGCACAGTAAGTGGAATCGCATTCAATATTTTGGACTTTTTTTTTCTTTTTCTTTTTTGAATTAGATTTTATTTTGGTTCAATTTTATTGTCACAGTTTCGCCATGGTGAGAGAACGAGAATGTTGAGTGTTCTCAAGAAAAGTCAAAATTATCCCACAATCTGAATACAAAATTTATAAAATTGTTTCGAAATTTTTAATTTTATTTGTTAACTCTGCAGTTGAGTCTGGTTGATTTCGTGTCATCCAAGCAATCCACAGCGTGTGATGTACACTGCATGCATGGCACTACCCCGTCTTCACCCGAACAGAACACCTGGTCATTATACCTGTATTTGTGGGAACTTTCAGTCTCGGTACAGCGACAATGACCGGGCATTCTATTCGGCTGAAGACGGTAGTCCCTCTCCACACATTCAGTGTGTACTTGGTTACCCGACTACGTGTACTTGCTTATCGGACTATGTGTACTTGCTTACCAGACTATGTGTACTTGCTTTATCGGACTCTGTGTACTTGCTTACTTGCTTATCAGACTATGTGTACTCGCTTCCCGGACTATGTGGTACTTGCTTACCCGACTATGTCTAATTGCTTTCTGGACTATTTGTAATTTCTTACCTCTCTACGTGTAATTTCTCACCGAACCATGTATCATTGCTTACTGCCAAGTTACTGGACTATGTGTACTTGCTCACCGGACTCTGTGTAATTGGTTATTATCAGCCTAACCTAGTAAGATTATGTATACTTGCTTGCCAGCTTACCTGACGCTGCACACCTTTTTATCGGACTACGTGTACTTTCTTGCTGGACTATGTGTTCTTCCCTACCGGACTTTGTACTTTCTTACCGGACTATGTGTAATTGCCAATTGGTTATTACCAGCCCAAGCAGGAAGGATTATGTAATACTTGCTTGCTGGACTACCAGTACTTGTTGACTGGACTGTATATATGTATTATGTAACCAGCCTAAGCAGGATTATGTACACCTGCTTACCAGACTATGTGTGTAGTGAAAGCCTAATCAGGATTACCTATGCTTGCT